CAGATTTACCGTTTTAGTCCAGAAAATGTTACTGAGTTTCTGGAGTATTGCACCACTTCTCCAGCTGGTATCTCCTCACTCCAGCCTTTTGCAGAAGTATTTACACAAATAAAGTGTTTGTTTATATTCAGTATCTCTGGAATTAATTGATCCCTGCAGTAATTTTCACCTCTGAAATGTGACACCCATTTTGCACCAGTGCCTGGATCCCGTGTCCATCCATCTCCTGAGGGCTGGGGGAGGATCTGCCAGGGATTTGATCTTCTGGGTCTCAGCTTCCTCCTCTCTCTCCATTTCGTGGCTGTTTCAGGCACTTTTATTCACTCACCATGGCAAGGGAGGGTTTCCCAGATGTTTCTGTGCCAGGTTTCTGTTCCCTCTGTGCCTGGAGCGTGGCAGGAGGAGCAGCTGCTGTCCCTGCAGGTGAGGGGACGGTGATCCTGCTCTTCCTGCAGCACAGGGAATTCCAGCTGCACCTCTCAGCTCTGGGGGGACACACTGGGATCCATTCACACCCCCTGAAAACGGGGATATTCACATCTGGGTACCAGGGGAAGCTTGGCTGGAGTTCAAAGCTGGCAAACATTTAACCTGCAAAGTAAGGAAATGATAAAGGAAGCCGTGATTGCATCACCTCTGTGCCCTGCTTCCCTCCTAGATGTGGCTTTGGGGAAAACATCAAACAGGAATTTCTTCCCTGGGTCAGCTGTGACTCAGCAACACTGGGTAAGCAAAATCTTGGTTGGGTTTCTGTCCCTCTGTGCAGGTGCACAGTCACTGAGGAGAAATGAGCACTTCCAGGTCCAGTTCAGCTGCAAAAGGCGGGTGGGGATCCCACTAATGGGGAAGTGAGTCCGAGATGACTTTGACACTGCTTTTCCCACAGCTCCTGGAAGAGGATGCAGAGATCCCAGCTGGGAGAGGCTCAGGTGCCTGGGAAAGGTCATCTAAATAGTAGAGAAGGTGATGAGAGAAAGGCCAGGGTGAGTGTGGGCACAGCAGAGGGGGCACGGCCTCGTGTTGGCTTTTCCCTCCCATCTGGGAAGGCAAAATCACTGCTTGGCTTGCAAAAAGGAAAGGATTTTGGAAGTGTTTCTGTTTGAGGAGAAGCTGTAAGGAGTTGATGGTGACAGGGTTCAGGGATGGCTCAGGATGTGGAGAAAGAAGGGGATCCTAAGCTGGGGAAGGGTTCCCAGCTGCCAGGTACGGGATGGAAATGCTGTCCTTGGCTTCGGCATTGCCAGAGTTTGGTGGGAATGACTCAGGCTACCTGTGTGGGCTGCCTGCTCCCAAACCAACACTTGGCTGGAGCTGCTCCCTGCTTTTCATCTGTGCTGGGAATGAGATGGACACGATCTGGGCCCCATTGGTTGGTCCTGTGCACCTTATTAAGTCAGGCTGACACAAATAAGTGCCTTAAATACCTTCTGATTCTCCCTCCTCTTGCTGAGCAGAGCCAGCTGGGAGTGAATTCCACCCTGAAAGCCACAACCTTGGGCTGAGATGAGCTTTAGGCTGAAGATCCCTGTTAGTAATCCCTGAACTGAGAGTTTTGGAAATGCAAAAATAGCATTTATGTAGCTGATACAGTATTGCTGATGGTTCCCAGAGCTCTGGATCCCAGCAGGGGACAGGAGGAGCAGGTGAGGTAAAATCAAAGCCATTTGGAGTCAGAGGCAAGGTGAGCATCGTTCACCCCTCAGCTCTGCCTCATGTGCAGGTTTTCAGTGACACATTCCCAGTGTCCTTTGGTGGAACAGACACCCCTGGAGGAGCAGAGTTGGCCAAAGAAGGGTCTCTGGAGCAAGGGATTCACGCTGCCCAACATCCCAGTGACCCTTGGCTGTCATTTCTCACATGAATCTGTTTGGATGGCTCTGATCCCACCAGCAGCTCCACAGGGACCTGGGAATCCTCCAGGGAAGGGGCCAGGACAAGGTGGGGGCTCCTGGACTGCAAATAAATGCTGAGTGGGAATGGATGAAGCTGAAGAGGGCAGAATTTCTGTGGGCAGGGGGACAGTCAGGAGCAGGGCAGGGCCTGTCCCCTGTGCTGGCTCTGCTGAGGGACCTCGAGGGTGCCCAGTTCTGCGTCCTCAGTGAGGAGGGACCTGGAGGGGCTGGAGCCAGGGAAGGGAAGGGAGCTGGGAAGGGGCTGGAGCAGCTGAGGGAGCTGGAAAGGGGCTCAGCCTGGAGAAAAGGAGATCAGGGGGGCCCTTGTGGCTCTGCACAACTCCCTGGGCAGTTCCAGTGCCTGAGCTCCCTTTCCATGGGGAAATTCCTGCTGCTGTCCACCCTGAGCCTGCCCTGGCCCAGCCTGAGGCCGTTCCCTCTCCTCCTGTCCCTGTTCCCTGGGAGCAGAACCCAAATCCCACCTGGCTGTCCCCTCCTGGCAGTGTTCCAGCTCCTGGAGCTCCCGTGGGGAGGTGGAACCTGCTCCCAGACTGGGATTTGAGTGCAAACAGCACCAGAAACGAGCCCAAGCTGGAGTTCACTGCCACGTCTGGAGAGTTTTTATTTTTAGGAGCAGCCACTGCACCACACATCACTGAGCACAGGCCAGGGCTGGCACCACCAGCCAAGGTGGGCAAAAGCTGAACTGGGAGGCCACGGGAATCCAGATGGGACCTTCCCATCTTTTCCAGGGAAATTCTGCTGCTGTTGATGGCCCAGTGGCATTGCTGGGCTGGCAGGAGCTTTGCTGGGATTATTGTTGGATTAACAGGAGCTGCCAGGTGGCTCCTGCCAGGTTTGCTGAGCCAGGGGGGGATGAGAGGTGACACAGGACACGGACATTTCATGTTTGGAATTTCATCCAGATGGAAGAGGTTGTGAGAGCTGTTGACCATTTTGGCTGGTGAGCCACTGCTCCCACTGACAGAGCCTTGGGAATGTTGTCCCTGGGGAAACTGGGAGTTTCTTTTAAATTCAAGAGAACTTTTCCTAATACACATAAAAATAAAGGAGAAAACAATGCCTGAAGGACAAAGCAGAACCAAAGAACCTTTCCCTGTGGCTTCCCCGTGCTGCTGGTTCCATCTCACTCCAGGAAATTTCACACCAAGATTTTGTTGCCCTTCAATGGGGACAGAGAAAAGGTTATTTTTTAGGATTTCTTTAAGAAATTTGACACTTGAGGTGGAACTGAGCCAAGCTGTTCTGCAGCCTCGTGTGCCCAAACCCCAACAAAACCCCTGTGGGCACTTCCACAGAGCGGGAGGATCAACAGCACTCAAGCAGCCCTGGATGGATTTTTTCCAAACTTTCAAGAATGGATTTTTTTTCACTCACTGTTCTGGTATCAAGAGTGAAGTTAAATGAATTTTTTTGGAAATAAAAGCTGCTAAAAACAGGACATTGCCAACCAGGTCCCAGTGATGAACCAGGAGCACCTTCCACCACAAACACCAATAAGTTGTGTCTTTCCAGCAGCCAGCAATTTTCTACCTCAGCCTTCCAACCGAGGCTGTTTCTGCCCAGTGTCCTTCTGAATCCTAAAGGAGAAGGATGTGAAGCTTTAGCAGTGACTTTGCTGTGGAAGAAATATTTAAAGAAGTCAGACACCATGGCCAGGAATCCACTTGTTCTTCTCATGCACAAAATTTCTCCAACCGAGCAATATTTTTGTTTGTTCCGAGCAGGATTTGTCTGTTTACAGTAAATACCTGTCACATAGCAACAGAAATATTACTAAATAATAATACATAGAATGTTAAGCTCCTTGGGCTAGAAGCTTTTAATGAAAAAAAACACATGTTCCTGATAAAAAATAATAAATAATGTCAGCTTTTCTTTGTACATTAAAAATATCTGTACATGGTTACACGATATGACGAAGTACAATTTTATTTCCTAGGCTCAGGGTGGCATCTCTGGGGTAGATCTTCACCTAAAAAGGGTCGAGGCTCATGGTCTTGATCCTGCATGAAAATCCTTTTCCCAAATTTGGGGAGTTTAGAGCCTTGCCCACCCTTTCCATGCAAAGGGAGAAGCAGCTCACGAGGAACGTGGCAACATCGACATGCAGAGAGCAGCTGAGGACTGAGATCTTTGCAAATGGTGAGACTGGAAAAGTCTGGAAAACTTCTTGCCTCAACTGGAAGAGACCAGCAACAAATAGAAAAATAAAGGTGGCAAAGGTAATTAGAAGTCTCTCTTCCAAATGTAGCTAGAAAAGGGTTTAGATGGTTTGTTTTCCAAGATGGCACTTAGTGATCCATTACAGAGCGGCTCTGGCTCCTGGCCAAGCTTCCTGCGGCCTCAGGATGCCCCAAGTTTGCTCAGGGCAGGGATGGGGACAGCTCTGGGCTCCAGGGGACATCCCATCCTGGTGGGATCCCATCCTCTGGGAATGGCAGAGCACGGCCGTGGCTGGTCCCACTCCCTGCACATCCCTGGAATCCTCCTCGGCCAGGAAACACAGCCACAGCATTTCCAGAGCTCAGCAGGGTGGGTGAAGCAGCAGCTGGAACCAAACCACCCCCAGGGGCTGGAACCAAAGGGCAGCAGACATTTCCTCTTGTTCTCCTGGAGAAAATGTGGCACTGCTCCACTGACAGGGTCCGGTGTCCGGGCAGGAGCCAGCGGGGATGGGGCAGCTCAGTCCCACCCTGCCGGGCTTCAGCCACACCTTGTGACCCCAGGACAGGGCTGAGCTGAGGGCAGCTGGACAGGGGCAGCTGGAAAGGGGCAGCTGGAAAGGGGCAGCAGGAGCCCCTGCACAGGGTGGTTTGGAGCTGCTTTGTGTCCTGCCTTTGCCAGGAATCCCTCACTGCTGGAGCAGGGCTCTGGCACAGCCGTGCTCCAGCTGCTCCTGCAGGGACAGGGACAGCAGGTCTGAGCCTCCCCATGCTCCCAGCCAGCTCCCACGGCTGGACAATCCTGGGAATTTGCTGCAGGAGGCACCAAGACAATGCAGATGGATGGATTTTCAAGTCCTGCTGTCCGTGAATCCTTGGGATATCCTAAAAGGTCTCTGCTCTTCCTCTTCTGGGCCCAGGACTAGAAACAGGACTCTTGGGACTCAGGGTCGGTGTGGATGGGAAGCTTCTCGTGTTCCTGGTGGTGCCCGTTGTGTAACACCTTGTACCTGGGAGAGGAACACAAACCTTCATCAGCACCAGCTCAAACGCCAAACCTATGGAAAATGAGATCCTGCAAACCCCAAAGTATATCTAAGAGAGTGATTCTTCCAAATATCCAGATCCCCCATTAAAAAGTGTGAATCCCTGCTTTGCTCTGTGACAGGAACTGAAATCTTCAGCTTGGAGCAGTCAAAGCAATCCCTGAGAAAGGAGAACCCGTTGGGTTCCGGGGGTCTGAGGTGAGCTGCTGTGCCTGGGCTGCTGATGCTCCTGCAGGAATTTCCCAGGCTGGCTCCCAGCACGGCCAGGACACTGAACGTGCAGACATTGCCCTCAGACATCCCTTGGAGAACTCCAGCACTTGAAATAAAGAGCAGGAATTTAAAAACATGCCCTGGCGAGTTACAGACTGGATGTCAGAGACAAGGAGAGACATTTTGCACCTCGCACTGAACAGACTCCAACGAGACGGCCACGAGGGGATAACAGAGCTGGAATTGGATGGAGAGAGTCAGACAGGGACACCGTGGGACACAATCCACCCGGGAGACCTCGGGAATGCTCCAGCCCGGGACACACACGGGCAGCAGCTCAGGACGATGGACAGGGAACATCCAAGGATCCAAACCTTCCTCCGTGTTCTGCGGCCGGCCCAGAGTGGAGCAAGAGCAGCAAGAGCAGGCGGTGCCGACTGTTTGAGGTTCATTAATTAAAGAGGAGTCACTGAGGTGTCCCGGGATGTCCTGTGGCACAAAGTGTCTGTCTGAAGCCTCTGGCACTGAGTTCAACACTTCCAGCTGTTTACCCTGTGGGGAAAGAGGACTGGTAGGATGGGAGGGAAGAGCATTCCTGGCACAGGGAATGACAGCTCACACTTGCTCAGGCACAGAATTCCTAAAACATTCCCAGCATCTCCAGGAGTCTGCTAAGGGCGTCCTCTGCTGCCAGGCTTTTTTGTTCCACGCGGGTTTTCCACACCCTTTTCCCTTCAAATCTAAGTTCAGAGCCGCCTGCCAGTTCTAGGGCAGCGATTTAGTGTGGGATAAAAACGGGGATTTTCCAGCCCTGCTTTTGTTCTCACCCCACTGTGCCTTCACTGATCTCCCTCTGAAAATACACTTCGTTTTTCTCAGGTGTTGGTACCTGTGGGGAGCGAGCTCCAGAGAAAAGGCTCATCCCGAAATTCAGCTGCTTTCCCTGCAGGAACACAGCTGGTGTGCCTCAGCTCCCACCCCATGGATCTGCCCAGGATTTATCCTAAAATGCAAGGAGGAAACAGCACAGGGACCTTCCCTGTGTGGGCTGAAGGCTTCAGGAGAAAGCAACCAGGTCGGTCAGAGAAATGAACACATCTTGGGGAGAGAGAATATGTGTGCAGGGGGAAAAAAACCCGACATTCAAAGGGTTAAATGCACCAAGTAAATTATCTACCGCAAATGAAATGAAATTAAAGAGGCCTTTTCCTGCCTCTGATGGGCTCCTCCCGTGGGATTTTTGCTCAGAGAGAATCCGGGGATGTCGCTGCCCTCTGCATCCTCCCGAAGTGGGGACGGTGTCGGTGTCACCTCCCCGGGAGCTTCCCCTGCATCCCCACGATAAATCCAAATATTGGGAAAGCTCTGCCCCTCCAGCGACCGCTGCAAACCCTCCCATGGCCCTGGGCTTGTGCTGATGGGGACAGCCCAAGGGACTCTGGAATTCCAGATCAGCTCTGGAAAGGAACTCTGGGGTTCTGCCCTCCACAGGCTCCAGATTATTTGGGAATTTGGCAAATCCAAATGCTGCAGTGTTGCCATCTGCACTCCCTGCAGAGCTGTCCCCCACACCAGCCTGGACAATTTATGAGGAAAGCAAAGCCCAACAATGTTTTGGTTTTGTTCAGTTCAACACTGCTTTTATTGGGGGACTCATCTCCCTGCTGTGGTATTGATAATTTTTGGGAATTTTCACTGCCTGCGTCTTCATTTTCTCCTTTTCCAGTTGCTGAAGCCCAACCTCAAATGAAACACTTTAAAACCCTTTTCTTCCTTCATCTACAACCAGAAACTCCCCCCAGGAACCAGCCACCGTCCCACCTGGAATAGATATCCAAGGAAAAGGCAAGCAGGTGATGATGGCTCCCATTGTATCACAAATCTTTTGTTATTTGCAGGAGCACCCAGAAAGATTTGCTGGGACCAGAGGAAAAACAAATGTAATTATGTAAAATGGGATAAACTGGGAAGATTTGCATTTGGCTTGAGCAGAATCCCGTTTTTGATAATGTCTTTTTATACCATTTTTCTCCTCAACCACCTAAAATAGTGGAATGTAGAAAAGGTTTTGAGGTAAAAAGTTGTCTGAAGCCACATTTTAAGTGGAACTGAGCTTCCAAATTGAATGAAGGATTTACTGACAGTTGTGTTGCTCCACAATTTATCTTTCCCTGCATTTTCCTGTCTCTCCCAAAGTGATTTTCCTCTGGAATATTTGCAGCACCACTGCTGGAACTTCACCCCTGATATCGTGTCCATTCCTCAAAGCCCTGCTGCTTTCAGAGGGGCTTCCAAGAGCAAGAACAAATAACTGGTCTGGAATGGGGGCTGTGGTGAACAATCACTTGGCAGAGGTTATTTTAATGAGCACAGCACTGAAATCAGCCTTGCACCATCTGCTCAGTTCCAGAATTATAAATTCTGAATTAGAAAACGAGAGAATTCACAAACCACTCTAAAAGAGAGGGGAAGGGAGAGCAGCTTCAGCTGATTTTTGTGATTTATCCCAGCCTGTGCTGGATCTGCTCTGCTCCATTCCTGGGTCAGGAAAAAAGAATCCTTTTTTATTTCTGTGTTTTATGGCAGCCACAAACCCCCAGGAACAAACCCCTGGAAGTGCAGGATGGGTCTGGGTGGCACCAGGAAAGATCCCAGAGATGGAATTCCAGCGGGGCAGGAATAAAACCTGAGCGAGATCTCCAGGACATCAGGAGGGTCCCCTGAAATTGTCCCCCCAGAAAGGTACTGCTGATATTTTTGGAAAACTGGGAGATGCTGGGAAACAGAGAAGAGTCTCAGAGACAAGTGAGAAGAGTGTGACACAAAATTCAAGAATCTCTGGAATTCCCTATTTTAATCTCTGATGATTTTCCACTTTGCAAGAGCAAAATCCTCCAATCTGAACCACACCAAACATCAGAATGAACAAAATGCATTGTTCCATTTCCATTTCTGCTGAAGAAATGAATGCACAGAGACCAAATCAAATGGAATTTCACAAAACATTTGCTTTTAATGCAGCTGCAGATGAAACTTCCAGAAATGAGAGCAGAATTATCCCTCTCTCAGCACTCCCAGGTTCACAGACTCCTGAAAATTAAAAGGTTCCCAGTAACTCTGTAACCTCTGGGCTGAATTTGTCCTGTTCCCATCAGTGCACTGAAGTTCTGCACTTGGCCATCAGCATCAAATCATTAGAGCAGGGTAAGGATAAATTGAATTATCCCAATAGAGCCCAACAGTGAAAAGCCAGATCTTGGGAAAACGTTGGGATTGCCGAATTATTTACATGGCTCTGACAGCAATGTTGATTTTAGAGTCCTTTGTAGTCAAATCTAAACACAAATCTCTCTCTGTCTCATGACAAGTGTTTATTTTCCCACTCCTGAGCAGTTAAGCTGAATCTCTTAATTATCTTTAAATCAAATAATGCTGTTCCGACCTCGGGAACATCATTCTCATCAGCTCTCGCCATTCTTTGCTAAATATCAGGCAGAGGTTTTGTAAAACATCTGTCTCCAGCCCACATCAGCCAGCTTTCAGTGCATTTTGTAGCATTTCTGCAGAAATACAGGTTTAAAATTAGCAGTTCTCAGGTAAGCAAAGCCCTTGAATAAGAGAAACATAAAAAGAAGATAAATAAGAGATTTTTTTCCCCTTTTTGTCTCTACAAGTCTCAGGAAGCAAAGAAAGCATCTCCCAATGTTTGTGTCTCTCCTTTTTTCCCTCATTGTTCTATCATCCCTCTTTTTTTCTGGCAAACCAAGACTAAGCCCCCTCCAGTCCCTTTATTTGTGTGTGGATCTGTGGATCTTTTTCAAGGAGGATGTTTAGAAGTGCAGGCAAATAATAACCTGAAATAGGATCTTGAACTGAGATGTCCAAACCCTTCAGCATCTTGTTTTCTTTTGGTTTTCTCCTGCTGATTTAGTCCCAAATTTTGTTTCCCTGGGACTGCAGGTGCTCACTTCCATCTTCCTTTTTTATCCTCTTTATTGCCAGGCTTTATTAATGAATTTCTGCATGGTCTTTTCCAATCCCCCTCACCACAATCACTGAATTTGATAATTTTTCCCTTTTCCCACTCTCCTGCTTCCAGCTGCTCCACCTGGGGAATGTTTATCATTTTCCCTATTTTCCACTGCAGGATGTTTTGCTCAACTTCAGCTAAAAACCTTGGAATTTGGGCATTATGAACACGATTTGGTGATGGAAATCAACAGATCCACACAGCAACCAAGAGGGTGGGGATGGCCCAGAGCTGCTGAGCTCTTCTCCTGTGGACTTGTGACATTTTAATGTTGCAGAAGTCGATGTTTCCACAGCAGAAACAGCAATCTGGGCACCAAGAAACCTCAGACTCAACGAGGAGCTCTTTGTTTGCAGTGAGTGAAATGCATTTGCTAATTATAAACCAGGGTAAACAAGTAAACAAATGAGAGCGGCCACTCAGGGGGATGTGGGGAAGAGGAGCCCTTTCCCCTTTTTCTCCCATTAACTCCCTATTTCCATTTCTCTCTCGTTACTATTAAGCTCAGCACTCCATTATAGGCTCTAATTAGCTCCAGATTTTGGCCTGCAGTTCGTTTTTGCACCGTAATTAATGCAGCAGTCACCAGAGCCCCGAATCTGATAATGAGGAGAGCACTTGGAAGTGCTCAGACACATCAGAAACAAAGAGCAGCCCATTAAGAGCAGCTCACAGCCACCCCCAGATGGGATGGCTCAGAACGGGCTGCTGGGTTTAAGTG